TAAAAATCAATGATTTAAGTGGGCTATTCCATTAGCATTGCATTCAGTTGAGAATTATGCATATTTTATAACTACACTTAGTATGAAAATAAATTGAATTTTAATGATACTTAATTTTGAGTACATCCAAAGACAACAAGAAAATTTGAGAAACAGAAAAATGCTTTAATAAATTTATACTTAGTGACGAGAAAAAGTTATGTATATGATGTTTTCCCTTGTCATGTATCTTCTCAGAAAAAAATAATGAACATGCGAATCTTTTGTTGCTTGGAAGTTCTGAATTAAGTTAAAAATAATGAAAAAAAACAACAACAAAAAAGTAATACTTATGCATCAAACAAATTTTAATATGTATGGATGAAAAAATCGTTTTTGCTCAGAACGCAAAACTTTTATTAATATATGTGCATAATTCGTATGTGATCGTTGTCTCCAACATTTTTGGACAACGTTAAAATGACTAGCACATAAAACTGATTGTAAAAGTATCAATGAATGTAAGGTGACGCTTTCTTAAAACAATGATTGTGAACATACACTTAAATTAAAGAACTTTAATTATTAAAATCGTGTACCATTTGTAGTATATGCAGATTTTAAATGTTTGGTACAACCTGTTAAGCTTGATAATGTTTTTTAAGAGCACAAACCATTCAGCATTGGATTTTCTATCAAGTGTAGTTATGATAATCGTAAATTACAGTACAAGAATTGCAGACAGAATTGTGAAGAAAATAAAGCACCTGCAATGTGGTTGGTAAAGAGTTTACATGCTTTAATATATAAGTTACAGTACTTATACGATAATGTATCCAAAATAATAAATTTGACAACTCAATAACAAGATGAATTTAGCAATGCTTTATTGTTTTATATTTGCAATAAATCTTTCAGATCAGAGGCAGAAAAGGTTCGAGATCGTTGTAACCTCACTGAAAAGTAAATATCAAACAATGGAACATTACTTTTTGGTACTATTCATATTATGTAGACAATTTATTATACATAAAATCTTTTTTAGGTATTAAGATCATGCACACAAAAGTATAACCATAGTTACGAAGACTCAAAAACAATACCTATATATCGGTTACATGTACTATGGAGGAAGTATTATATTGTCGAGTATCTTACTATTACAGCTCTTGTCGACTCATTGTGGCTCGATATTTTTTCCAGTAGTGTTATAAGTTAATAGAGCTTTATTTTGTAGCCCATCCATATTTGCATTGTGGAGCAAGATGCGTCAAGCACGTTCATTCTTAATCCCTTTCGAGTAATGTAAGTACGATTGCTGTAAGCAACGTCCGTTAATGATAATGTGTATAAATTAGCAACTGTGTGAATCACGTCTACATTGGTAGGATCAGGAGTATAACATTACAATACACATTATATCTGTTTTTGTGACTCAAAATTTTTTTCAGCAGTGTCTTACGTAAAAAGACCCTTATTTTAAAGTGCATCCATACATGAATTGTGGAGTTAGGCGCGTCAAATTAGTAGTGTAAATTTCGCAATTTTTTATCTCTTTTAGGTACTAAATAAGTCCACGTGCTATAGAGAACTTTCTTGGATGCTAGCGGGTAAAATGTGTGGAAAAACAAGTAGATCCATTAATATATGCGCGCAGCAATATGTATAAGCATGTTTGATTGCTTTCAAGCAAGTAATAGTTTTCATTGTATGCTGCAAAGGTACTCTCAGATTTTCTTCACTACATGTATAGAGGTGCGAGAGGTTGCAGAAGATCTGGCCAATCAGGTGATTTTAGGTATGCCTGAGTGGCTCTGTAGAAGGATATGAGGCTAGGTGACCCCGTATCTCCCTAGCTATACTACTTCCTTATTAAGAAAAGGGACTAAGGGAGACTGTTCAAAATCGAGTGGTGGGTTGTGGGCGTGGAGTGGAGATAAAAAAAATATAACTTTATAAAAACAAAGAAAAACCCAATAAAACTTTACCATATTTAGAAGAGGCTGGGAGGATTAGGGGACGAACAAGGCTTAATATAAGTGGGAGTAGGGTGCAGGGGACTGTTATATGACCCTTCAAAATTACTATATAATATAGGAAGATATATATACTCCTTAAAATCCAGGAATACATCTAGTTAAGCCACTGCTTGTCGAAACAGTTGAATATTAGTCTGCTTGTAGTGCGTACAGCAAAAACAGTTTACTGTAAAAATTTACCGATATATATTAGAAGGCTAGACGCTCGACGCTTTCTGTACAAAGCTGCACCTTAAAATTTGTAAAATAATCTGTAAATAAGTTGCTTGTTACTTTTTTATTTACAATAAACGATACGTTTCTTTGTGATTGCAGCTTTGTGTACTCCTGTCCGCGTAAAGAGCTATTACTTACTGACCATATTCAAGTCGCTGTCCTAAGCTGTTAAAGTTAACCTACGCCAGCCCTACAATGTAGTCTGCTACAGTTGATACCAAACATAGTATTTGTTAAAAAGATGATCTTATGAAGTCAATGGCTGATCACAGAACGACTCCTTAATGTCCTGAGAGACAATTTGACATTGTGTTCTAATGGTCTGTGAGCTTATTCGACGTTTCTATTAGTCAGTGGAGCGAGTCCGACAACTGCGGAAGGTAAATTTAAGTTTGCCTTTAAGGCTAGACAGTATGCTCAAAAATGTTCTCCTTATATCCTTACACTAAACCGTAGCTAGGCAAAAGATTTGCATATTGCCTTGCATAGAACAGAAAATGGTAAAAAAAGCAACCTTTACTATAATAACATCTCTTATAAATTTGTCATAACCTCCTTGCTTGTTTCGACTAAACTTAATGCTTTGGCACCATGAGTTGCAAAATGCATGTTACTGGGCTACCTTTTATTTCAAATAAAATGAAAAGCCAAGCTTCGTCAACTGATTAACTTGTGGTTATTATACATTAAATTTTAAGATCCATCAAGATTATCTTCAACTCTCGATTTTTGCTTTCACACGTGACAATCTCAGATTTTCTAGCGTACAGCTGAGAATGCAGAATGCCCTGATTTTTTCTAATAATAAAAAGTGACTTGTAATTGTAAGAAATTGAGCGTAGCTCAACTGTCGAGCTCAAATATTACTACTGAAAAAATCAGGCATGTTGCTAAGTGAATCTAATGGAGTAAATTAAACGACACTCTTATTGGCTCTATACATGGTTTACAAGATATAAACATTACTCATCTATTTCTGATTCGGAATTATTAAAACTGCATGACTGTCAGACAGTTATTAACTTTATAAGTATATACAAAAGAATGTATGTAAATATATTAAAACAAATGTGAATATATCAGCAAACTGGCAACACTGTCCCTAAAGCCACTGAACAGCTAAGCCTAATTGATAATGTTAAGAAAACTAACGTTCTAGAAGCATTTGGAAAAGCCAATATAGTGAGGCGCAGCACTAAGCGCAGCCAATATTAACTGATAATATTATAAACAGTAAATAGCAGCAGGGCAGTGATCGTCTGGACTAGAAGCAAATTAACATTAAATGAGAAAGTTAAATAATTAAAGAAATGGTGCAAATAAATCGTGCAGTTCTCAATGAAAAAAATAATAATCTTGACCTCTTGTTGACTGTACGCCAATCAATTGTATTAGATGTTTTCAATATAACCCACATCAAATTTTTGAGTATCTTTTATATATATTGTAACTAGCTATTGAGTTTTTTGAAGGGAAAAATTTAGTATTGTGATGCTCTACTATAGCTTTACGTTAACTAGAAATACGGTCACATACGTTTTAATTGAACTATTAAGAGCTTGTGATAAATGAAAAGTCACCTCACTCCAACATCTGCTTATAAAAAATGCTTGGATTTTATTCTAAATGCTAGAATCTTTTTAACTACGTATTTAAATTATTATATGTATATTTATTGTAATTGGTTCTTTACATCTTTTCAACTCATTCATTGAGAAAGACATTCTATTCCAATTTAGTATTACTACTGAAGGCATACAACCAGTAAGAATGTATGAAAATTATACTTAAACAAGTTTTCTTTTACTCTAAAATATAATGTCATGACAGAGTACAGTACATGTGTACATTATAAGTTATTAGAAAAACATAGCTGATCGAGCACTTAAGTAAGTAGAGAAAATTTGTTAACTAAACTTATTATTTATTTTTTTTATCTTCAATCAAGCAAAAGTGTTAGAAACAAATGCGACAGAAAATAGTAACCACTTATCGTCCTTAAGTTAAAGAGTTCATGGACTTCATATTTTTTGATTCTGTTACGTTTACGACACACTTGAAAAACAGTTAGTATTCACTAAAGGATAGTACACTATCGAAAATCTCGTAGACTGTTATTACTGACCATATTAGAGAAATTTTAATTCCAGTTACTTAACCATTGCTTTTCTAGACATTAAGCTAGAAATTTTAAGTAAATGTACACATTTGTTTCTCACAATCATTCTTACATAAGTTAGAACTATCCACACGGTTATAAATAATAGCATAAAATGAAAACTCAATTCACACAGAAGCATAGACTCTTACAATTACTTGCTTATTTATTCATGGTTTTAAGTTACCCTTATATAATAAATCTTTGATCAATACTTCGAACAGCTTTATTATTTACGTGAACATCCATGTAAATGTATTGCATTAACGTATACACATGCAGTGTTTTACGTACAAAACAAGTCTAATCTTTTCAGAGATTTCCTTATGAAATAGCTTTTAAACTTGCAAAGATTTTTGTTTAAGCGCAACAAAAAAATAACAAAAGTGTTAAATTTTTAAATGAGAAGTAATCAAGGATTTTTAACTTTTTATACGTAAAAAATGTGAAGATGTATAATTTACTCTAGAAGAATTACATTATTATGGGGCAAAGCGTTAAATATTATTTTCACAACTTTTTTATTAAAGGGTGTAACTTTGCATATTATCGAATATGATTCCTAATACATGAAAAACAACTTAATACTCAATTTACATTTTTCACAGATACTAATAAGGAAGTTATCCATCCTGAAATAAACAACTGTGCATCAACCTCTGGAGTACATCATTGGAAATCACGATTGAATACCATTAAAAACTCATTCCTAGGAAGCCCTAGATTTCATCGCCGAAAGTTACTAACAAGTATTGAAGATGTGAGTAGAACTTTTTTTCGTTCATTCGACATTTTGGCAAAAAGTGGCCTATGATAAAAAGAAAATTAATAAATAGTATAGTAAAAACTTCATTATGAAAATAAAATAAAAGGATAATATGTGAGAAGGTGCTAAAAAAAGTGGCTACTTTTTTAAGGAATTCAAAGAAATTGTTAGTATTGGCTGATCATTCGTCTATCTTTAAGATACTTTATATTGTTAGTTCATTAGAAGTAAATGGTGTCATTGACCTTGTCGAAAGTAATGTGAACATATTTATTTTACCTTTTTCAATAAGCTACAAGACGTCAAGAAATTATAACATTAATTTATTTCGTGAAGCTTTAATACTTAAATATGTTAACCACTAAGCTTATTTTACCTAGTACTTTTAACCAAATTAAAAGTTTGTCTTAAGATCTTCTTACCTAAACTACCATTTACGGGGGCAAATAATGCTTAACTCAACCAAAGTATCACTCATAGATGAAACGTAATGCAGAAAGCTTTCCACACACATAGTTTTATTTTAACTTGTGAATTTGATTTACATTTATAGCAACAGGTGATGTCATATGGTACTCATAACTTTAAATTATTCTCAGTCAAAAAGGTGAGGGACTGCCACGAGAGCTTCTTGACGTTGCTTCTTATCATGTCACTAGCAGTTTTAGTGGCTAATAGTAAAGTGGCTTTGTCAACTTAATGGCTGATTAAACTTTTTTGCCACTACCATTGCCTATATTTATTGTTAGAATTAAATATATGACAGCAATTGTGACTAATAAGCATGTTTAATTAGTTTGAATACTCACCAGAATGTTTTTAGTTAACAGGTAAAGTAACTTTTCAAAACCTTTCTTCTCAATAATAACAGTTTTGTGTCATGACTCACACAAGCATCTGACATTAGGGAGTACTTTCTTTTTATTTTGAGCACAAAAAAATATTTAATTTTAAAAGAACAAAAAAAAATAAAATGTCCACTTCTTTTTTAAAAATTTTCTTTACTATTGTGCTTTGTTTATGTGGTCTATATAGAGCCAACTCAACATTAATGGTTAGTTCCTTGAGCACTAAACTAGAGGTGATGTGCAGGTTAATCCTAATTTATATAGTTTTTGTTTAATAACCATTTATGTCTCATATAAACAACATAAAAACGATTGGTCTTCAATAAAAATAATTCATGCAATCATATGTTAATGCATTGTTTATACTATCTCTGAACACACGTTAATATGTGGTCGTATAACAAACTGACACCTAACAATGACACAAAAGTTACAGTATAGTGTAGTTGGTGCTTAGAAAAAATATGAAAATCATGTACTATTATAATATTTAAAAAAATTTTATATTATGACTTACCGAATAATGATAAAAGTTAACCGGTGTACTCATATAATAACACTACGCTGGAACGCCAGAAGCAGTCAGTTTCTCCTTAAATTTTTGGGGTTGCTGATTACGACGAAGGGGTTGGCTAACCTTAATCAGGTCATGTTCAAGATTATTTTAAGGTCAAGTAAAGAAGAAACCTTTTAAAAAAGTAAAAAAAATTCAGGCCCATATTTTTAAGGTCAACAAATCAAAATCAGGGGTTTGCTAACCTCCATCAGGTCAGGTTCAAGGTCATTTGAAGGTCTTGTGGAGAAAAAACCTATTAAAGAATCTGAAAAAAATCATACCTATATTTTCGAGGTCCGCAAATTAAAATAAGGGGTCAGCTAACCTCTATCAGGTCAGGTTTAAGAGTCATTGAAAGGTTAAGTGGAGAAGAAACCTTTTAAAAAATCTGAAAAAAGTCATACCTATATTTTTAATGTAAGTGAATTGAAATAAGGGGTGGGCTTACCTAAATGAGGTCAGTTTTAAGGTGATTTGGAGGTCAAGTGGAGAAGAAACCATCGAAAAAATCCACGAAACTTCGTGCATATGTTTCATAGGTCACTGAATCTCATTTTTTAAAGTAGTAACTTCTTCTCGTCATTATTTTTTATCTTTTACGAAGAAAAAAAACATAAAAGACCCGTTTAAGCTAATATTTTTTGTGAATCTTTGGCAGTACTTTATCGTTCTATAAGCTATATTATTTATTGGCTCAAAACCTTTTCTGTTGAGTAAGAAATGATCGTCTAATTGCTTTTCTCTTGTGTGTTTCATTTGACTCTCTCTGACAATTCCAACAATAGTCTGCTAGCATATTTGTATCCCAAACTCCTTGATTAAAAATCTCTTAGACCCTGGTGCATCCTCTCACCTTGCTTCTCGCTGAAGTCCCCTAAGTTTTCGGGGATGTAATCGAAATGAAAGTGCAGGAAGTGTAGTTTTGGATTCATAAGACATCTAACTTCTTTGAAGTTATTTAACATTCTAGAAACAATATCTTTATAACTAGGATCTTTATTACTTTCTAAAAATTCTTTCGTCACTTGTCTGAAACTTTGCCATGCTGCTTTTTCTTTAGCTGTCATAAGTCTTTCAAATTCCTCATTTTTCAGCATCCCTCTTATTTGAGGTCCCGTAAAAACCCCCTCCTTTATTGAAGCTTCAGAAACCGATGAAAAGATTTGAAAGATATGCATGAAAACGTCGCTTTAATTTGTGCTCATTGCTTTGACGAGTTGCTTTGCAAGGCCTTATTTGATGTGCAGTGGCGGGAGAAGAACCTTTTGCATAGGTATCAAACTTTCTCTTGAAACATTTTTTAAACCTGAAGTAGCGTTTCTTCTAGGAGGCCATACTTTTCTCACATAGTGTATTTCTCGAGCTCGACTATTCCACTCGCAAAGAAAGCATGGATATGATATAAATCCTTTTTGGAAGCCGAGCATGATTGTAGTTATTTTCAGATCACCACAAATATCTCATTTATGCTCATCATATTTTAATTTTTGTAATAAAAAACACAAATCATGATATTCTTCATTCATTAAAAGAAAATGAGCAATAGGTAGAGGGGCATACTTATTCCCATTGTTAAGCAAGACAGCTTTTAGACTTCTTATTGAAGAATTAATAAAAAAACGCCAATCACAAGATCTGTATTCTTTGTCAAATTTCTTAACCAAACCTTTAATATCAATGCAATAAATCAAGTTGCTTATTTTTGTAAAAAACTTTCTAAACGGTTCGTCTCTTGAACGGTAATATGTAACGTGTGTTTCAGGAGCCAAGCATTTTTTTTCTTTAAGTCTTGATGCTAGAAGTTCTGAATTTTTTTTTTAAAAACCCAAATCACGACAAAGATCACTTACATCAGCTTGGGAAAATTTTTCTTTATTTCTATTGACTTCATCCTCCGAATCTAATAAAATTTCGTGAGTTTCTATTTCTTCTTCTTTAGATGTATTAAAGGATTGATCTAGTGCTTCCGCATCGTCTGATGCTTGGTCAGCATGAGTCAAAACTTCTTGTTCACTCGTTTCTATATCCATACTATTGTCATCAGGTTTAGCATTAATCAATGTAGGAAAAGTTACTGATGCTATACGTGGATAAGTGATAGATTTTTTATTATTACAATCGTTACTATGTAAATTAATTGAACAGAAGTAGCAATCAGACTCCTGATTTGATGACTTCCTCTATTTCATCGGAGAAGAACATATCTGCCTGTTCTTTTTATTAAAAATATTGTGGCATCTAATACAGACAACTTTTGGTGTGAAGCAGTTACTTCAAGATTCAGTTTCAATTCCAAAGCATTCACTACATTTTTTTTCAATGTTTCTGAGAATGTAAATTTATTCTTCGTCATATACTGCCTGCAAACAACACAAAAGATGTACAGATTATTTTTGCAAAGACTTGGACTTGTAACATTTAACTCTACAAAGACCAAGGTTCCCACCAATGTAGAGCTACGCTCGCATGATGACGACGCCTACGGGCCCGCTTTCTCACCCTGATCAGCCGCCGATTCTGGGTTTCCGAAGCCCTGTCTCGTAATACTTTTCCATGTGGTTGCCATGACGGCCGGAATGCCGCAACCCAGAGACTTTGCTGGATAGTGGGACAACTTCGTTGCCCACCGTCAACACGTGGAGGTGCCCTGGGTGCAACCACGCGTAAATTTATTGTTGAAATGCATTGACATGTATAAATGTATAATATAAGTATGAAAAGCTAAAAATTTTGCCTCTAAAAAACTTTATCCTGACATGATAAACTTTATTCATACATTTTTATGCAACTTATTGTGAGTGAACGAAATTTGAAAGAGTGTAAGAGTCTTTTGTATATATATGTATATATATATATGTTGGTATCAGAAAACCCCATTACTGTTGCAAGAAGCAAAAAGTACTCTCCACTTGACCTTAAGTTGACCTTAAACTTCACCTCATGAAAGTTACCCTACCTCTAATCTGATTCACTGATCTCGAAAAAAAGGTATACATTTTCTACGTTCATCGAATCTTACTTAACATTTTTATCTTAAAGAATCTTTAAAACGACTTTAATATAACCTTGAAATACCTCTAGGATAGATCTACAGTGTAAATAAATGCTGGATTTCGATTCGCTGACTTCGAAAATATAGGTATGATTTTTTTCAGATTTTTCAATCAAATGACCTTTAATCTGACTTGATAGAGGTTAGACAACCCCTTATTTTCATTCGCTGACCTCAAAAATATAGGTAGGTATGATTTTTTTCAGATTATTTAAAAGGTTTTTTCTTCACTTGACCTTCAAATGACCTTCACTCTGACCTGATAGAGATGAGCAGATCCTTTATTTAAATTCGCCGACCTCTAAAATATAGGTATGATTTTTTTCAGATTTTTTAAAAGATTTTTTCTTTACTTGACCTTCAAATAACCTTGAATCTGACCTGGTAGAGGTTAGACGATCTTTTATTTAAATTTGCTGACCTTAAAAATATAGGTATGATTTTTTCAGATTTTTTAAAAAGTTTTTCCTCCACTTGACCTTCAAATGACCTTGAAACAGACCTAATAAAGTTTAGCTGACTTCTTATTCTAATTTGC